CTGACTTTCTATCCTGATCATGAAGTCTGACTCTAAGGAATGACCCCTTCTGACAACATGCCCAGAGTATGTGAGATGGAGTTTCACCATATTTGCTTCTAAGGAGGACCCCAATTTTGATTTCTCCGCAACAGACTTATTTGTTCTCTTGGCAGTCTATATTATGTTCAGTACTCTTCTTCAGCACCACAACTCAAAGGCATTGATTTTTTTCTCTCTGATTGTTCAGTTCTCAGATGCATAGCGAGCAATTGAGAAGAATGTATCTTGGATCGGGTGCACCTTAGTCTCTAGGCTGACATCATATCTCTTCAGCACTCTGGAGAGGTCTTTGACAATAGATTTTCCCAGGGCAACGCATCTCTTGATTTCCTGACTGCTGGTGCCAGTGGTGTTGATTGTGGATCCAAGCAAGATGCAATGTTAACAACTTCAGTCTTTTCTCTGTCTATCATGATGTGCTGCCTATTAGTGCATTGGTGACGATTTTTATTTTCTAATGTTGAGATGTAACTCATATTGAAGGCTGCAATTCTTGATCTTCTGCAGTAAACACTTCAAGTCCTCCTCAGTTTCAGCAAGCAAGGCTGTGTCATCTGTATAATGCAGGTTGTAGATGAGTCTTCCTCCAATCCTAATGCCACATTCTTCTTCATAAAGTCTAGGTTTCTTAATGATCTGCTTACCATATAGATTGAAAAGGCATGGAGAAAGGATAATTCCTGACACACTCCTTCTCTGATTTTGAATCATGTAGTGTTTCCTTGCTCTGTTTAAGACAACAGCTTTTTGGTCTAAGTTTCACATGAGCACAATTGTCTGGAATTCCCATCAAGTTTAGCTACAGTTTGTTTTGATTCACACAGTCAAATATTTTTACATGCTTAATAAAACACAAGTAGACATCCATCAATTCTTTTAGAAGAAGTATTCATTGTCATGGAGAGGAGATTGAAACTGACAACAGCTTTACCTTGCTTGGATCCACAGTTAACACCCTTGCTACAAGCAGTCAGGAAATAAGGAGATGCATTGCACTGGGAAAGTCTGCAGTTAGGGACCTTTGAAAATTATTGAAGTCATGATGTCAGTTTGAGCTGTGGTGTTGGAGAAGAGCACTGAACATTCCATGGACAGCTAATAGAACAAGTAGATATTTCTTGGAGAGGGTGCAGCCAGATGCTCTTTGGAGGCAAGAATGATGAAGCTTTGCCTCACATACTTTGGACATGTTGCTAGGGGGTGCTATTCTTTGGTGAGGGATATGATTTTGGGAAGAGTGGAGGGTCTCCAAAGGATAGGAAGACCCTCAACCAAGTTGATTGACAGGGTGACTGCTGAATGGGCTCTTGTGTGTCAGGAAGTGTGAGGATGGCGCAGGACAGGACTAGGTTCGGATCTTTTGTTCATAGGGTCGCTATGAGTATACTCGACTCTATGGTACCTAACAACAACCACAGACATCCTTCTGGTACTCTCTGGTTTCAACCAGAATCCATCTGAGATAAGTAGAGACCATTTTGTTTTTCCTTGCCAGTGTGTTTTCTTACTTTTTTGCTCTGCTTAGTACTTTTGGTATAACGTTGATGAAAGAATATCCTTTCCCATATCCTGATCTTACGGGAAAATCACTTAGTAAGTTACTAGCAGGACACCCATCCCTAATTTTCCCCTTTCTAGTTGTGTGCTGGTACTCCACATTTTACCAGTTCAAATGCATTCTGGTTTTGCTCATTTTTTTAGAAATAAAATTTTAATTGTGATTTTAACAAACATTTACAGAGAAGTTGAATTTTTTTCTTTCATTCATTTTTGCACATTTTACCTTCTTGCCCTCCCTTCCTTTTCCTTAGGTCATGTGATTTTTTTTGTTTTGGTGGTTTTTTTGTTTTTTGTTTGTTTTTTTAATCATTCATTGTTTTATTTTTTTATTTTTTTCTATAATTATATTTTATTAATTTTCATAAACATTTACAGAGATTTTGGGTTTCCATTCATTCATTGTTGCACAGCCTGCCTACCTCCTCTCCTCCCACAGTCCTCTTTGCAATGATATATCTCTTATTCTGGGCTTTTATAATACATATAATACCTAATCATATATTCATGTTAGTCAGTTCTTTCTTTCATTTTTTTCCAATGCAATAGTCATTATAAACCCATTCTTATCTTATTCTCCTCCCAACCCCACATGCCAGACCTGCTTTATGACAGTAATGCTATGCAGTATTTGTCCTTTTGAAACTGAGATATTTCACTCTGCATGATGTGCTCCAGAGTCCCCCATGTTGTGTAATGTTTTACAGGTTTGTTGTTTTTCAGTGCTGCATAGTTTTCCATTGTATGAATATACCACAGTTTTTCTATATGTTCATTTATTGATGGGCACCAGGGTTATGTCCGTCTCTTTGCTATTATAAATAATGCAGCATTAAACATGGGCATGCATATATCTGTTTGGATGGCCGGTTATGGTTTCTTTAGAGTATATTCCCAGTAGTGGAATTGCTGGGTCAAATATTATTTCTTTTTCCAACTTTTTCAGAAAACGCCAGACCACCTTCCACAGTGGTTGTACCAGTTTATGCTCCCACCAGCTGTGAATAAGAGTTCCAATCTCTCCACAATATCACCAGCGTTTATTGTTTGCTGCTCTGTTGAACTTTGTTATTGACGCTGGGGTGAGATGATACGTCATAGTTGTTTTGATTTGCATCTCTCTTAGAGCTAGGGATTTTGAACATTTCTTCATGTGTTTGTTTGCCCTCTGAAAATCTTTTTTTATATCTTGTACCCATTTTGTGTTTGGTTGTTTACCTTTTTCTCATTGAGGTGCTGGAGAATTCTCTAAATTTTAGATATGAGTCCCTTATCAGATAGGTCATTACCAAATATTTTTTCCCCCATCTGTGGCTTTCCTTTTTACCCTGTTGGAAAAGTTTTCTGGTATGTGTAGGGATTTGATTCTTTGGAGGTCCCATTTATCTGTTTTGTTCTCTCTTGGTTGTAGGGGTTTTGTTTATTTTAAAAACTCTTGTCTTGATTGGTACTGTTCTTTGTCCAAAGAATTCTTCTTTTTCATATTTTTTATAAGGCTGATCTGGCTTTTTGGTTTATTTTTAAATGTTTATTTGAAAAATAACATTTTTTGGTACTTTTGCTTAGGTAGGAATGTATTTGTTTTGCTGTAATTTTGAATGACAATTTTGCTGGATATATATAATTTTTAGCTGGCTGTTCTTTCCTTTCAGGATATATAATTCCATTGCATTTTTGCCTGCATGGAATTTTTTTATATTTAGTGTCTTTTTTTGCCAGTATATCTCAAGAAAATTCTGTTTGTTTTCTTTTTCTTCTTTTGAAATTATTATTTTGTGTAAATTATTCTCTTGTTAGTGTCCTACATACTTCTTAGGCTTTTTTTGTTTTTAAAATTCTTTTCTTCTCATTTTCCATCAAGTTATTATTAAGGATTTGTCCTTTGTTTCACTGCTCCTTTCTGCCATTGATTCCATTCTGTCTTTGTATTTTTCCACTGATGTACCTATTTCTGAAATTTTACTGTTAATCTTTTAGATTTCTAGATAGTGTCTTTATATGGCTTGTAAGTGTCTGCTTAGTTTGCAGTAGGGTTTGTTTGAGAGCACTGGGATCTCCTGTATGTTTGTTGGCAGAAGTACAGAGAGTGCTGGTTTGTTTGTGACAGGGGTTTCTAATGAGGTGATGTCTGTCTGGCCATTCAGTGGGTGTAGATACAAGAAACATTCTCTTCATTTGCTCTTTTATAGGTGCTGTGGGTATATGCTGCTAGTTGCCAGATGACCAGCATGAGGGTACACTGGGCACTGGCTAGTTTGCACTGAAACCTGTATCACCTGTTCTCATGACACTAGTTGATGGGTGCATAATGTGTAATTTCTCACCACTGGTTGCAGGGCAGGAGGAAGAGGTTAAGACTTATGTCACTGGACTGGCAACACACGAGCTATGCCACTGGTTGTGACACTCACAGTGCAGGAGTGTCTTTCGTCAATCACTGAGATGGATGCTGAGGCTGAGGGAAGGGCATGATGAGTGGGCTCTGCCAGTTGTTGATCTAGCATTTCGAGAGTGTGTGCCAAAAATAAAAAGAGTATGTTGCAAGCGACTTGATGACACATAACAACAACAACAACGTGCAGTTAATTGCATGTGAAAGTGAAATAGGGCAACAGGTCACCACGAGTTGCCAGGCTGTGTAGGGAGCAGAGAGTACATCACCAAATACAGGGAAGGGAAAAGTGGAGCCTATTCTTTGGTCATTGATATGGACACTGGGACACTCCTCCCTCTAGAGTGTAGCTAGTAGTTAAGATCTGCCCTCAAGTTCATTCTTGGAGGAGTAAGAGCTGTCTAGAGTTCAGCTGGGGGAAGGGAATCTCTGGTTGCCACCCTATAAATCCTCCATTCTGTGCGCATCACCTGTGTAAACTATGAGGGACCAGTGCTGGTGAGGAGTTGCTTTCCCATTTCTGGCTCACCTCCCTTCTCTCATTTGCCTGAACCCCTAATGTTCTCACCCACCTTCCTACACTCTCCTATTAACTGTAATTCAATGAATGTAAAAGTTAAATTTGCTTCTTTCCAAATAGTTAAAAACATAGAACAAAAAAACAACTTGAAAGTCTGATTTATTTTTATAATTAAATATCTTAATGATGATTCATCCAGAAAAAGAAGTTGCATAAATTATATTACTAGTTGTGCAAACAATGTTAATAAGACTAAATTGTTTTATGACCTTTCTGGTAATATTATTTAGCTGAAGACTTCAGAGCAGTGAATAATCAGCTGTTAACATTTTAAATTATTGTTAAAATTGGGCTTGCTGGCATTGACAGAGTGAAGTTTCTTCTCATAATATTTAGAAATAGAGTAAGAATATATTTAGTTCCCAATTCTTTATCTCGTGAACAAATAAAACTAATTTGTTTTTTTTATTCTAATTGTATCTTTTCTAGATCAGATTTTCACCAGGAATTAAGAAATTGTTTGTGGTAACTGCAGTGAGTGCTGTATCTGTAATTTTTCTGGCCCACCACTTTAGAAGAAGACGAGGGAAGAAAAAGGAAAAAACATTACCTTGGGAACCAGAGCACCTTTTACTTGAATACACTAGAAGAGCAGCATCAGACAAAGGTGTGTGGGTCCACAGGAACATTTTATTTGTAAATCATTAATAGAGTACAGTGAATTCTGTATTTTATTCTCTAAAAGTTTCTTTTTTAATATTTGACTCCTAAGTAATGCATAGTCACTTTAGAAAGATTGGAAAATACAGATTAGCAAACAGACAACTTTAATCAGTTAATATTCTCCTACTCAGAGGTAACATATTAATTTGGATGTAGTATATATTGCCAGTTATATAAATAAAAATCATTTCTTGAGCATGCTAGATTTCTTTAGTTTTTTTATTATTTAATATAGCACTTACTTTTGGTTCCTTGTTGAACAAATATTTAATGAAAGACAGTTTTATGCTTGGTAGCAGACATTACAAGAATAACAGCTTTCACCTGTTCAGGGCAGTGCTTAATGCTGCACGTGTAGTACTTTATTTAATCTTTATAGCATTCTTTTGAATTAGGATAATCATTCTGTATTATCATCTCTGTTTTGAATAATAGAAATATAGAAAAGTTCAGTGACGTCCTAAGATTGTATAACTTGTAGGTGGGCTTGAATTGAGAAGTTTCTTAGTGTATTCAGATCAACTACAACGTGATATGATATTTAACCCTAGAAGAATATCTAAATGGGTATGGTAAAAAGACATAAAAAATTAATTGTAACATAACACAGTATAGATGAAATTTAAATGTAAATATTTCATTAAATTTATAATTTGAAGGTTCATAGTTGTTAGTATTTTTTATTTACTACAGTAGACCAATATATATTGCCCTCATTAATTATGTGTTTTACTTTTCATTTCACATGCAGATTTTTGTGTTATTACAATGTTATGCAAGGGTATAGATATTGTTATGTCCCTTTAGTATTATTCACAATTCAGTGATGTATATTCTAAGATCAGAAGCCTTGTGACTGAATATAATGTCAGTTTTGAGATTTTTACCTGAAATTTATCATGCACCTTTTGGTACTTTTGGTAGGTTCAAGTTGTTCCAGCAGTAGACAAAATTTGACATTATCTTTGAGTTCTGCCAAAGACAAAGGATCTCAGTCCTGTAACTATGCTAATGGAGGACTTTTCAGTAAATACTCAGGTTCTGCACAAAGTTTGGCCTCTGTAAGTATGAAAATTTTTTTTCTTTTCTATGTCTGCTTATCCAACAAGAGGCCTCCAGCCAACCAAATGCTCCAGAGCCAGTCCCCAGTCAACACGGAGAAAAAAACCAAAACTCCCTCCTCCAAGACCTTATGAGTTTTCAAAGACCACAGGCCCACACCCTGGGCTCTCATTAGCTCCGACAAGAGGCTTCTGGCCAACAGTTTGGAGGCAGGTGTGGAATCTACTTCCTAAACCACATGCCTCTAGAAACTCTAGGAGCTTGG